GCCCGCGGCGTAGAATCGCAGCGCACCGTCGGCCAGCAGCCGGTTTACCGCCTCTTCGCTCTCCCGCGTCTGCCCCCACCGCCGCACAAAGAACGAAGAACGAACGAAGAAGATAAAGCGAACGCGAAAGCAAAAACGTTAGCAGAGCGCACATCAGGGGGGGGGGTTGAAGAACGGACCCAGTGCACGGAGCGGATGGATCCCGTGTGCAGTTCCTTACCGGCGTCTTCGCGCACCGTGGCGCCCTCGTCGTCGATCCAGTCCGGCACTGTGCAAGCCCACACATGGTTAGTTAACGAACGATTTGTGGGCGCGTGGATCGTTGGTGGGCTGGGCGCGGGCCACACCGGCGGCGTGCGGGAGAGAATCGTAGCGGGGCAGGTAGGGCTTGATGTCCAGCACGGGCGTGCCGTCGACCAGGTCCACGCCGGAGATATGAAGCACTCCTCGCTCCAGCCGCTCGATCTTGGCGATGGTCAGTCCTGCGTGAAAGAAAGAAAGAAGAAGAACGTAGACGACGAGAAGCGCCATGACGAAGAGAATGAAGAGGGCGATGATTAGGATGATGATGATGATGATGACGGCAATGATGGAAGAAGTGTGTGGAGGGGGGTACCGATGGGGTTGGGTCGGTGGGGCGTCCGGGTGGAGAAGAGGCCCACGCGCGCTCCACCCAGCCGCGGCGGTCGCACTTTGGCCTTGAGCCCTTTGTCGCCCAGCATGGCTCTGGCCGAGCGAGCAAGCCGCGTTGGGCCGGTTATTCGTGTCGTTGGTCGTGTCGTGTCGTTGGTCGTGTCGTTGGTCGTGTCTTTGGTCGTGTCGTGTCGTGTCGTTGGTCGTGTCGTGTCGTGTCGTGTCGTGTCGTTGGTCGTGTCGTGTCGTGTCGTGTCGTGTCGTGTCGTGTCGTGTCGTGTCGTGTCGTGTCGTTGGTCGTGTCGTGTCGTTGGTCGTGTCGTGTCATACTTGGAGGCGTTGGTGTTTTGATGGAAGACGAAGACAATCCACACGTGTGAGAATTGTTGAATCCCGTCGAGCGCTTCGGCCGGGTTCAGCCTGCCCTCCAGCTGGATCCAGCCGCGCGTGGCCGGCGCCAGCATGCCCTGTCTGCCACGCGGAATGTGAGCTATGCGCACACCAACCACCATCGGCGGGCGGCGAGGGGGCAGGTTGGGGTATACCTGGGCGTGCCCATGCGCGAGGGGAAGGGCGAGCGCACGACGCCGATCGGTTTGATGGGCGCCGAGAGGGTGGCCAGCTGGCCGGCCTCATCGCCCTGGGCTGACGACGATCCCGTTGCGGCCCTCTCTGTGAGCACACGCCTCAATTCCTGATATTCCCCGCGCGTGTCGTGCGTGTCGTGCGTGTGCGGTCATGCCGCGTGTGCCGTGCGTTTAAGACAGTTGGGGCGGAGCCAGTGGCAAGAAACCTTTGCAGATGCGCTTGGTGGCGAGGAGAGCGTACGCGTTCGGCGCGGGTACGGCCAGCGCGGTCGGCATCACGCTTGCGACGAAGGCTGGCCACCTCTCGCTCCAGCTGTGCCACCTCCTCACGCAGCCGCTCTTCCTCCATCTCCTTTGATCGGGGGGGGGGAATACATCAATACATGTAAATGCAGCCCTGAGCTGAATGTAATCCAAATCCGAAGAACAAGGTACCTCCAGAATCAGCAAGTGTGAATTGATGTGAAGATGAATTCAACGTGGCTGATAATTCTGGTATAATTAAAAAAGAAAATGCGGTGCATGCCTCACATGCCTGTCTGGAAAAGGAAAGTCGAGAAAATGCGGTGCATGCCTCACATGCCTGTCTGGAAAAGGAAAGTCGAGAGCCGCCAAGGGTCAGCCTACGTGTAGAGATTGCCACAACTGCGATAAACACACTACTCTACAACATGGTACGCCAGCACTCACATGTTCCCTACTGGCCATAAAGCCCCTTCATTATCCCTCTCCTTCTGCCACCCACTTTTCGCGCCTCAACTCTATCATCTTTATTCGATTAATCTGTCCATCTTTGCCCCTCGCTAGAAATGCTGTCGTTTACGTGTGTTCATGTGGTTCGCGTAGGGCACTTTGTATACGACCAAGGCATTTATACTGCTGGACAGCGACGGCAAGCGACTTGCTGCTCGGTACTTCACCACCGAGTGGCCGGGGCTGGAGAAGCAGCTCAGCTTCGAGAAGTCGCTCTTCACCAAGGCCCAGGCTCATCCTGCCGGTACCCTTCCTCACCACAGCACGCGCCATCGCACCTTCCCCTTGCTGGCCACCACTTACATGTTCTTCTTCACCGACGCAGCGGAGATCATCTTGCTGGACAACATCATCGGGGTACCGCTCCTCTGCAAGGCCTGTGCGCCCTCTGAGTGCTGGCTAATCGCACTACGGCGTTGGTTGTGTGGCCACAGGTGTTCCGAACCGTGGCCGACGTCCACTTCTTCGTGATCGGAAGTCTCGAGGAGAACGAGCTCGTATTGTGGTCTGTGCTCACGACCTACATCGAAACCATTTCCCTCATACTCAAGTACGCCCTCCCCAACCCGACGCTCGTAAGGCTTGTACACAATGCGTCGGCTGAGCTCCAAACCACCCAACTACAGGAACCAAGTGGACAAGAGGACCCTCTCGGAAAACTTCGACTTCCTCCTGCTCGCCATGGACGAGCTGGTTGACGACGGGTACGAGTCAAGCGATACCCTCAAGATCAATCGCGTTGTGTTGCTCATCCGAGGTCGGTCCTCCCATCAAACAATGCAGAGTCGTGATGGAGACCGAGCCGCAGGTGATCGCCGACCGAGTGTGCATGCGGACCCAGGGCCCCGACGGCAGGGGCGAGGACGCCATCATGGGCGTGCCCATGAAGACCATCAACAGCGCCAAGGACATGGTCGTCAAGGGCCTCGGCAACCTCAGGGCGCAAGGTGTCTAGAAGAAGTACGTATGTAGGCCTACACACGTACACCTTCACTCTGGCGCCGAGCGAGATATCTCTGGAAAGTCCAATGAACAGCCCGTCGTGCGGGCATGAAGCAAAAGCGCTTCTAGCCAGAGAGAACTCTTCCAGTGCACCATCAACTCTTGGTTTCTTCGTCTTCTTGTGCGGCCGCTCACGCCACCGTCGAGTTTTCCCCACCGGCCACACCGCGCACGGCCCCACTCTCCGCTTTCGCGCAGACGAAGCTCGAGAAAATTCGTCGGTGGTGGTGGAATTGGTGACGTGCGCCACCTTAAAATGAGGGGGTGGGTCGTACAGGCCGCGACGCAGAAAAAGGCGCAAAGCAGGAAAGTTGTGCTTCCTCGCTACGAGATCTGAGGAGGGATCGTGCCATCTTCTTCTCCACCCCCTTCTCATCTTCTGTACAGCAGCACAGCGTTGAAGGTTCATCAGGAGGAGGAAAGTCGAACGCAGCAGAAAAAGCGGGAAGAGCGCGCGTGAAAGCCCCATCGCGCTTCATCCCACCTCATCTTCTGCTTCTCCCTCCCTCCGGCATCAGCAGAAACGCGGTCAATTCGACCTCGACATTCAACATAAACCCACAGCATCAATCGTTATATGCTCACGCGCTAGATAGAAAGATATAGCATATCCATTCGAACAGCAAGATGAGCGATAGCGAAACCGATTCCGATCTTTACACATCGAGGGAGGACATGCCGCAGAGGACTTCCTCCGCCCCGCCCATCCTGGAGGTGCAGGAGCAGTCCCTGTTCGCCATGGGCAACAACTATGCCCGCCTGTTTGCTGGCGCGGCAGACATTCGTGCCGATGACGATTACATCCACTTCTACAACTCGCATCCCGACCCCAGCAAACTTCCGCCCCCTATCGAGAGGCAGGTCTTCGATTCGATTG